GGTTTTGATTTCTCCTTTTTCTTTCGCGATTTTGATAATTATCGCGAGTTATTTGAAATCTGGCTTTTTAATATATCACGTGTGCCTTTTAATTTTGTACACGTGGGCTTTTTGGAATGTAAACAGAAATAACAACTTTTATTTATTACTTCTTTTTTTTTTTGTGGTACATTCAAGCATTTTTAAAATACTAAAAGCTATTAAAAGGAAACTACTCCTAGTCTTCTGCCTCGGGGCTGGAATGGGAGGATGGTGTTGGCGAAGGAATGCGGCAGAGCAAGCGGCGCTGGAACCTCGCCTGAGTCTGGACCAAGCCTTCTATCTGGCGGTCTGTCCTATCTTGCCTCATGGTCAGTTGGTTGAACTGATCTCTCATGAATTGGAACTGCCCTTCCATGTAGGCATGCTCGTCGTCCAGGCGCCGGTATAGGCCAGCATAGTCAGGGTCATATGACTGCTGCTGGGATTCCGAGGTCGCAGGGATGTCCTACGGTGTGTCGAAATCCCGCATATCCATCGAGATTGAGACGATTGGGTTTAAGATGAACCCGGATCCTTGCCTGCTGAGGATGTTCATGTGGGCCAGCATCGCGCCATTGATCGGCTCTGGTTGGAGGCTAGCCGGGATGTCTTCTCCATCGGTGCATCCCCAATATTCAGCTAGAGGGGTGAGAAGGGGAGCTATTATGATGGCTCCTGTTGGACCACGACTTCCGTAGTCCTTAATAGCTTTCAGAAAAGCATAACCAGGGTTGCACCTATGCCCCTGATGCATGCAGTAAACGATGAAGAGGTCGGCTAATGTTACCTTCCCCTGGCTCTCCTTCCGGCTATGTAAGGTCCTGGCTAGCAGCTTATGGCATATGCGAAGCGGGGGAGAGAAGGATGCCCTTTCAAGTGTGTGGGTAGGTTGTGAGCTCCAGTGATCTCTTTCCACATGTTGGTGGTGGTGAGGGTAGCTGGCTTCTCGAGATACGCCGCCCTATACTCCGGCGTCCTGGTGTCTCCCCTCTGACAGAAGCCCATGATGACATTGAAGTCATCTAGGAAGGTGGTCCGGTAGGCGCCGTCCATCCAGTAAGAGACGGCTTGAGTAGGCGGCACTTCGGGCATGGTAGAGGGCAATTCGGCCAGATTGACCGAGGCAAGGAATTCCATCGTAGCGGTACGGTGGATCTGGGTAGGTGGCTTGCGGAGCAGAAAGTCCCATCCTATATTGTGGATGAACCTTCTGATGTCTTGATCCCAGCCGAACATAGCCAGGATTTCAAAATCCAGACGCAGCATAGGATACCAGGAGGATTGCTGGATATTTGCCAGTCTTTGTTGATGTGGTTCCGCCAGCAAATTGCTGGTAACAGTAGTTCCTCTAGCAGCGGTTCTATTGCGCTTTCTCCTGGATGAGGCTTCTCCACGCTCCATTGTAAGCTCTATTCTCTTATAGATGCTAGAAGTGTGTAGAAAGGGAGAAAAAACAAGGTAGGAAGCTTGGAATAAGGTGCAAGAACCAAAACCCGCGCCCCACATATATAAGCCGCGCATGGACATTTGGGACGGCCGTCTGGGTTGGGACGGCCGTCTCGTTTGAAATTTTAACACATGGGTCACCAGCTGAAATGTGGGACGGCCGTCTCGACTTTGGGACGGCTGTCTCGAGCTTCCTGGGCTGGTTTTTTGTTTTTTTGAGTTAATTTTCGTGTTTTTTGATGAAACTGAAGATAGGATTCCCTTCATTTATGCTTTAATGCATGTAATGTTTCATGATATGCATCCTATGATCTATTTCAGTTAATATTTCGAAAGTTTTAACTGATGTGCTTTGACTTCGGGCGCATTCTTGCTATTGTGCCTTTATGTCATCTTGTTTCTTGGTCAACAAGCTAAGCTGTACAAGTTTGCCGTCATGGACCTTTCTTGCTATGGCCGAAGAACAATCTTTCGTTCGTAGGGCAACTGCCATATCAATGCCCTCCTTCCTTTCCTTAGGGATTTCGACCTTCCTATTGATCACTATGTTTCCACATTCCCCTTTATTACTTGAATGCTTTATAGTGAAATGGTCAAGAGAAGAGAAAGAAAAGAATTTACAACAAAGGCTTGTGTTTTAGAGGGATATTTTTTGTAATAGAGGTTTTTGTAAGAATGGCTAGTCAGGGTTAGTCTGTGTTTAGGCTAGTTTAGACAAACGTTTCATTCTTATGATATAGCGTCGTTGTTTACTGATTTATGGCGCCTTTTTTGCGATTGACTAACTTCCCTAGTCCGCCCTTTCGGGTTTTCAGCCTAGGATGCTGTGCTTATGTCCTAACTTTTGTCTAGGTTTCCTTTTTGTATTTATTTTTTAGGAATACCTAGCGGACTTTTCATAACCCTAACTTTTGCCCAGGCTACCCTTTATTATTGTTCGGGTTTACCCTAACTTTTGTGCAGCCCCCTTTGTGGGTTTCCCGCTGGGTATTTTGCCCTTTTATTTTCTTGTCTTGGCCTTTGGCCTTGACGGGCATTGTTTTTTTTGTATATATATATATATATATATATATATATATATATATATATATTTTTTTTTTTTGCACAACATTGTCGAAACTTGATTTTATTGAGATAAATTTTATTCGTGTTTCTAGTTAATCAATCGTATTTGATTTTGCTTTATGACGCATTGATTGTTCTGACGCATTTTTGGAACAAAACGTTTATCTAAACCTTGTTTATTAAAATGGGGTATAGACATATTTAGCAAGAAAAGAAGAAAACAGTAAGAATAGCATTCTTTTGTAATTTCGGGGAAATGTGTGCCCTAGAGATGCTCGGGGGCCGGGCATACCCCGAGGAGTGATCTCTAATAGTCACTAGGTTTACATCCCTTAGAATTAGAAGAAGGACACCTAATGACTAATGCTACCCTTTGCGCTAATACCCTTCCTTTTCGAAATATCGTCTTTGAGGGGTAAGACTTCCCTGCTTTCCGTATGGTTTGATTTTTTGTGGGGTCGTACCCTAAACCATACTTTAGAAGATTATCTTTGAAATCTGGTGGCTCTTTCATTCCTTGAGCATTCTTTCCGAGCCCCTCTCCTGGGCGATATCCATATCTTTTCATCATATGGGCCACCTTTGTATTACCAGAGAGTCTTTCTATGTTGGCAATTTTGAGCGCTTGAAAAGATGTTTCAAGAGCCTCTTCAGCCGCATCCACATATGGCTGGACAGACGGTTTGCTAATTAGAAAGTCTTCTTCAGCTTGAACTGTGACTAGTTTATCATTTGTTACGAACTTGACTTTCTGGTGGAGCGTTGAAGGTATTGCCTTAGCGCTATGAATCCAAGGTCTACCAAGGAGACAACTATATGCTGGCGTGATGTCCATCACATGGAAGTCTATGTTGAAGATAGTAGGGCCAATTTGGATTGGTAGACTAATTTCTCCTACTACTTCTCGTCTTGATCCGTCAAAGGCTCGAACAACTGTATTACTCGGGCGCATGTGGGTTCCTTGCACTGTTATCTTGTCGAGCGTGCCTTTAGGCATAACGTTTAAGGATGACCCATTATCCACAAGTACTCTGGAGATGAGATATTCCTTGCATTTGACAGAGATATGCAAGGGCTTGTTATGATTTGACCCTTCCAAAGGGAACTCTTCATTGGTGAAGGTAAGATGATTATTGGCTATAATATTACCAATAATTCCTTCGAACTTGTCTTGGGATATTGCATGCGGAACGAATGATTCATTCAAAACCTTCAACAGTGCGTTTCGATGCGGTTCCGAACTCATTATGAGTGATAACAAGGTTATCTTTGCAGGAGTGCGATTGAGTTGATCGATGATGGAGTACTCGCTTTGTCTTATGTACTGGAGTAGCTCATCTGTCTCCTCCTTGGATTCCTTTTCTTCTTCGGCTTTATTTTTCATTTTATCTTTAGGAATATTATCTTGTAATTCCTTGGGGGAGTATATTCTTCCGCTTCTTGTCATGCCCCCAATACCGGCTATGTTGGAGATATCTTGATTGACCGACGATTCTTCGGAGTATCTCCAAGGTACAGCTTTATTTGATGCATAAGGGAAAGGTCGAGGCACGAATAAACGTAAAGGTGTTATTGCCTCTTCCCTTTTATCAATTGGAATAACCCACGGTGCTTGTTTATTATCATCTTTGGGTCTATCGACCGTTGTGGAGATTTTGATGACGAAAGGCTTCTTTTCCATTTATTCTGATTTGCGGAAAGCACATCAATTAATCCTTTCTTTTTATTATCTTTATTATTAAAATGAGGAGGGATGTATGTATGTATGCAACCTATGACTGCAATAGACAGTTTAAGGAAAAAAACTTTTTATTTCAACTAGAAAGTGTTTATCCTTCTATACAATGCTTTGAAGCAAGTGTTGACAAAAACGGAGAAGCTTGAAGAATCCTATAGGTAAATTAGGCTTTCTTCGTAATTCGTCTTCCGCTGTTCTCACATGGCTTCTGAGCGTCTTGATTTTCTCATGTACCGCCTGGCTCATATCTTCATTATATTGACGAGCCTCTTTTATCTTTTCTTCTTGATGTACGATCAAGGCTTGCTGTTGGTCAGACCTCTCTATTACTTGCTCTCTTTCACAAAGCAATTGACCATATTGAGCTAATCCATCTCTTTCTTTATCATGTAGCTCCTCTAGGTCTTCTCTGTATCGTTCAGCGGTTTCCCACCACTTTTGCGCTTCTGACCGAGTTTCTGCTAGGTCATCCTGTATTAGCTTGATTGTTTTTGCCTGTTCTGCAAGCGCGCTCTCAAGATGTGCTATTTCATCATTCATGTCCCGTAATAGACCATCTTGTTCGAGCCTTGGAATTTTATATGCTTGTTTGGTCTCTTCTTGATAGTCAGCACAATCATTCTTAAGGCGCTCTATTTCATGGTCCTTCTTTTAACATTGCCTCTTTAGACCATCTATTATAAGGGTTGCTTCTTGCTCTTTTTCTTCGAAGGCCCTCAGCTGAGCTTCCATGACTTCAACCCTTTTATTTAAGGCATTGACCTTCAACTCTTTTTACACAGAGCCAGCCCCCCTGGGACTTGGGATAGTCGTCCCACATGTGGGACGCGCGTCTCACTTGTCCCAGGATAGTTGGGACGGTCGTCCCAACTCTGGGACGGTGGTTGTCGCCGCCGTCCCTTTCGACGTCCGGGGGACGTCTCGAAACGTTTATGCGAGTAGTCGCGAAAAGATGGTTTAGACTCGCGTATTTGTTTTAAAATATGTTCATTGCTTCAACATTGAAAAAGCAAGGTTTTCGAAAAGGGGTTCTTATGGAGTCGCCACCAATATTTTGACCATAAACATTGGAAAAGGATGAAAAGGCATTGATTTTAATAAAAACCAGACTTGGCCATTATAACCAGAGTTAGGTAAGGGAGTTAGTTACGTGTGGGGAAGGTGTTAGCACCCCACAACGCCCCTTTCGGGTTCCCTATGACAGATTAATTCATTTAAGTAAAGACTACGAGAAATTACGCGATTACCCTATTTTATTACATAATATTAAATGGCTATCTACATGATTTTATTCTATGTTGCATGCATAAAATGATGAATAAAGCTAAATAAAGCAATAAAAGAGATATTAAAATAGCTATCTACATGATTTTATTCTACATGGCATAAACGAGTAAATAAAGCTAAATAAAACAATAAATAAAGCAATAAAAGAGAAGAGAATTGAAAAGAACCTCCGTAGCAAGCTTTGTATTGAGAATCTCCAAGCTTGTGAGGATGCGTTTTGGCAACCCCTCTCTACACAGACTCTCCTCACCAATACAAGATCGACTCCACTAAAAATTTAAAGAAGAATCAAATGCCGGAATATAATTCCTTAACCGATTGTTACCTATTTAAGGCAATCGGAAAGATCATTCAAGAAAGGGAGAGAAATAGACAAGTGCTCTGAGTTTTAGAAAGTGTTTCAGAGCTCTCTGGGATGTCTGGGGTGTGAAAAAGTGGCAAATGAACCTCCTATTTATAGTTTTTCGCAGCTGGCGCACTTTGGGACGGCCGTCTGGACTGGGATGGCCATCCCAAATGGCAAATTTACACAGAGCGGGACCCCCAGGAAGGCCGGGACGGCCGTCCCACTTAAAATGGGTTTGGGACGGCCGTCCCACATACGGGACGCGCGTCCCAACAGTAAAATGACAATTGGGACGGCCGTCCCACTTTTGGGACCGTGGTCTCGACCTATTTTGTCCAGTTTTCGTGTTCTGGGACCCCGGGAAGCTTTCCTTTCCTTTTTCGGACATAGATTGATGCCGATGTGTGTCTGTTGAAGCTTTATCTTCATATAGGAAGTCTTCTTGGCCTCCAATAAGATGTCGGGCGAGCTTTGTCTTTGTGTAGGAAGTCTCTTTTGGCTTTTATTGTGCGAGTGAGTGAACTCCGTCTTGTTGCAGGAGATCCTTCTCGGTTTTGGGAAGCCGGATGAACTCCATCTTCGAGTGAAATTCCTCTAGCTTTTATTTTGAGAGGCCGGGAAAAATTAGGGGTCTACAGTGGTCTCGACCTGTTTTGTCCAGTTTTTGTATTCTGGGACCCCGGGAAGCTTTCCTTGCTATTTTTGGACATCGGTTGATGCCGATAGATGTCCATTGAAGCTTTATCTTTATATGGGAAGTCTTCTTGACCCTTATTGAGATGCCGGACGAACTTTTATCTTCGTTTATAGGAGGTCTCTTTGGCCTTTGTCGAGGAACTGGATGAACTTCGTGTGATTGTAGGAGGTCTTCTTGGTGTTTATTGATAAGCTGGGCGATCTTTATCTTCGTGTGAAATTTCCCTAGCTTTTATTGAGAGGCCGGGCAAAATTAGGGGTCTACAACAAGTAACAGTATTTTGGATAGATTCAGTCTTTTTATCAGTATACCTTTTTACTTGGCCAGTTCTGTTCTTCCTTCTAAGAAATTTCCCAAATTTCTTAACTAACAAAGTCAGATTCTCGGATTCATCTTCTTCAGACTCACTATTTTCTTCAATCGTCTTGAGAACAATGTCTCTACTTTTCTTTTCTGCATTCTCTTGTTCTTTCAACCGATTGATTTCCAACTCATGTTCCCTTAACTTACCAAATAGTGAAGCAGTAGTCATTTCAGTCAAGTCTCTTGATTCTGATATAGCTGTCACCTTTGGTTGCCAAGTTCTGTCCAAACACTTCAAGATTTTGATGTTCAACTCTTCCTTGTCAAAAGTCTTTCCTAGCCCAAGTAAATGATTGACTATGTGCGTGAATCTTTTTTGTACATCTACAATTGTTTCTCCTTGCTGCATTTTAAACAATTCATAGTCCCTGATTAACTCATGCTTTCTTGCCCTTTTCACGTCAGATGTACCCTCATGTGTGACCTCTAAAATTTCCCACATCTCTTTGGCAGAGGCACATTGAGACACCCTGAAAAACTCATCAAGATTTAAAGCAGAGGTAATAATATTTTTAGCAGTATAATCATATTGGACTCTCCTATTTTCTGCATCAGTCAATTCAGCCCAATTTTTCTCAACTACTTTACCATCCACTGTATGAGTTGGTTTGTAAGGACCATTAATTGTTTCCCAAATACATCTATCAAAAGATTCAATAAAGATTTTCATTCTAACCTTCCAGAAAGAATAATTCACACCAGCAAAAAGAGGAGGCCTGTTTATGGAGGCTCCTTCTGAAAAATTCATCTTTCCCTCAGCCATTCTTGGACCGAATTCTTGAGTAACTTACAAGAACCAGCTCTGGTACCAATTGAAAGAATTAATGGTTGAGTTCAAGAGGGGGGGTGAATTGAACTTTAGAAAACTTTTTCGCAAAACTTACTTTCTCTTGGAAGAATGAATTATCTTTATTTAATTCTTGTGTAGGTAGGTTTGATTTTAATCACAGCAAGTATATAGACAAGAAATAAAAGAGATGAAAGAAGAAATACAGCACAACAATTTATACTGGTTCACTCTTTACCAAAGCTACATCCAGTTCTTGACAAATCTGCCAAGTTCCACTAATTCCAGTGAAAAATACAACCAGTAGATATTCACCAATCTACTTCAAGAACTATCTTACAACCCCACAAGATAGAATCTTGAAAACCTCTCAGTAACCAAATCCAGTTACTGTAACACGTGCAGATCCAAAATCCAACCTGCACAATCACACTTTACACAAGAGTATGAAAAGAAAAAACCTGGACTGAAGCTTTATCAGTACAATTGTCCAGAAGCAATTCTAACTCAGCACTTTCTCTCTTTGATTAACAACAATCTTGATCAAAGCACCTTATGATATGAAAAGATTCTAAATGCTCAAAGAAAGTCACGGATATGATTGCTCAAAGATTGCTTTCAAATGTTTTCTCAAATTGTGTGTTTCAAAAGATAGATCAAATCTGTATTTATAGAGTAAAAGAGAGAACCAGAACGTTTGATCTGTTAAAAATTGATTCAGAGAAGCAAATGATCGATCATAATGAAAATATAACAGGTTAGAATCAATTATGATCGATTAGAACATCATTATGATCGATTAGAACAATTTATGGTTGATCAGAATCAAATTATGATCGATCAGAATGCATTTCAATCGATTAAAACGACGTTTCAATCAATTGATTTTATTTAAAACTTCATTCAATCGATTGATTCGTGTTTTCAATGGATTGAAATAGCTTAATGAAGAATGACAGCTCTCTGTTTCAATCGATTAAAAAACCTTTTAATAGATTGAAATCCTGTAGACTCTTAGTTAGAAAAATAGACTCTCTGTTTTAACAGAGTGAAAAGTATTTCATCAAATTGAATTTTTGAAAAACACTTAGACTGAAAAAAATAGTCTCTCTGTTTCAACAGATTAAAAAAAACATTTTAACAGTTTTGTAAATGCGAAACCTTTGATATTTGAAAAATTCATTAAGAATATTTTAACCTGTTGATTCTGCGATTCAACCAATTGAAATTTCGAATCTATAAGAACATTTCTTATGTTAAGTGATTTTAACAGATTGAAATTTCTTTTCAACAGATTGAAAAACTTAGTTTGTTCTTTTAATGCTTAAATGTTAGTTTTTCATGCAAAAAAATGATTTCACTGAGATGCATCATTTTAAGGCACTTATCACAAGATCTATTGGCCTATCAAGAGATTAAGTCCAAAACACTAACCTATTCAACTACACACCCACAAACTAAACTATATCAACTTAATATGTCTTCATCAAATCCACCAAGTGCTTCAATCTGCCCCCAGTCCTTGGCCAGGATGGTAACCATGCTTCAACATCATGCGGGCTACCTTTGTGTTTCTGGGAAGTCGCTCTATGCTGGCAATTTTGAGCGCTTGAAAAGATGTTTCAAGGGCCTCTTCAGCTGCATTGACATAAGGTTGGGTGGACGGTCCACTGATCAGGATATCGTCTTCTGCTTGGACCGTGACCAGTTTGTCATCCACTATGAACTTGACTTTTTGGTGGAGCGTTGAAGGTACTGCCTTAGCGTCGTGAATCCAAGGCCTACTGAGGAGACAGCTATATGCTGGAGTAATATCCATGACATGGAAATCGACGTTGAAGATAGTGGGTCCGACTTGAATTGGCAAGTTAACCTCTCCCACTACTTCTCGTTTGGATCCGTCGAAGGCTCGAACGATAGTGCTGCTTGGGCGCAGACGGGTTCCTTGGATAGTCAACTTGTCCAGTGTGCACTTGGGCATCACGTTCAAGGATGACCCGTTATCCACAAGAACTTTGGCGATGAGGTATTCCTTGCACTTGACTGAGATGTGCAAGGGCTTGTTATGTTTTGACCCCTCGAGGGGGAGCTCTTCCTCTGTGAAGGTGAGGTGATCGCTTGCCATAATGTGATCGACGATTCTCTCAACCTTTTCTTGGGATATGGTGTTAGAATCGTGCAGCGGAATGTTCGCGTGGTCGGACAAAAACCAAGAGGGGGGGTGAATTGGTTTCTTAACAAAAAATAGGTTTTCAAAATTTTTCCCAAATTTTACCGATTAAAAACTGTGTAAATGTAAATAGAGAAGAGATAGAAATCTTACACAGGAGATTTATACTGGTTCGGATCAAAAGACCCTACGTCCAGTTGCTAATCACTCAAACAGAGGATTAACGTTATCACTATGATCAAAGTTGTTACAAACAAATTTCAATGAAAAGATAAAGATAAGAAAACACCTCTCTTGAAATCCACAAGAGA